AAAAAAAAAAAAAAAAAAGTGTAGACACAGGGTCTGTGTTGCCCAGACTGGTCTTGAACTCCTGGGCTCAAGCAGTCCTCCCCACTCAGCCTCCCAAAGTGCTATGATTACAGGTGTGAGCTACTATGCCTGGCCCTCATTCATATTTCTATATTTTGTATGATATTTTATGAAACAGTATTTACCCTGGCTCTGTATGATGCACAGTATATATTTTTTTAATCTTGTTTCACTTTTACAAAGAGTTGATGACAATTCTCACTGCATTGACTTCACCATTCACTAATGGGTCAGTTATGACCTACAGTTTGAGATGCACTGAGCTATAGGGAACAGTACTTTCTGTTTTATACTGTCTTGTACTCAATAATTTAAAAATACTATATGAAAAATCAGAACATGTAAAACTTAAGTCAAAATGACTTTGTTCTAGGATTTAGGATCTTGTAGAGATGATATTAGGGGAAAAAGTGCCCAGGGATATTTGGAGTGTCCGTGACTGTGAAGGTACAAATGAAAACTGGAGTGTGAGGGAGAAAATTGCTGGGAGTGCAGGGGAAAGAAAGAAAGAATTGATCGCTCTCCTAGACGGACAGAGATCCATTTCTTGAGTTTAGTTATTAAGGAAGGACAACTATAATCAATCTTAGAGGAGAATTACCAAGGTTAAGTATTTTTATGATTATCAAGTTTCATTACAAGTCACTAAGCATCTAAAACCCAAATCATCACTGTGTAAAGACGTAGTTCCATGAATACTGTGACAATTTCTGCTTAAGAATATTAGAAAAATGATACTTGATGTGACCTACCAGAGCAGACTTTCAATTTTTTGAAATGCCTTAATCTGTATCACAGTGAAGTGGTGACTGTGGAAGGTGCTGTATTTCCACAGGAGTCAAACATTATAAGCAACAACTACTCATGGTTCATTAATTGATGGAAATGAAAAGTCATGGGGGTAAAGAAATACCACTAATACTATGCTGCTTGGTAGTCTGAAACTCTGTGTGTGTTTTCATATAAATTCAAGTGCCATAACAGTTTATTTCAGCCAGTATTGGTTGAGAATTTATTCTATGCATGCTATTGTACCTTTTGTTTCTTATTTATTGATTTGCATTTAGCTATCCAGATCACTAATCTAGGATTAAAGAACCAGGCTAGAGAATTTAAATTGATTTATGAGCCAGCATATGTGCGATGCTTTTTAATTCATATATTATCTCAGTTAATTTCATCCCAACCTTAAGAGCTAGTTATTATTATACCTATTTTCCAGGTAAGAAAATAAAAATTTACAGTCAAAGCAGTGTCTCCAAGGGGACATGGCCAATGAATGGCCCTCTAATGCCACAGTCTCTCCCACCACAGGATAGCTCACAGAACAGCCATCTGGATCCCAGGCTGACAGCTGAAGAGCATTCACTTTGTGCCAAGCATTGTTCTAAGCACTTTCATGTACTGATGAAATCCTCACAACACTGAGTTTCCTTATTTCCAACAAGTGATGCATCTGTGGCATCTCACCTCTTGCAGCTAAATCCTTTCAATGCTTAGCTGACCCAACAGGGAACATCACCCTTTCTTCATGGTTTCCTGAAGCCTTATTCACCCATGGTGGAGGCAGTTACAGAGATGTTTCATGAGGTTGATGGCAGGGGCCTGGATTTTAGATATCACTCATCCTAAAAGTCCCTGCGATGGCCAATCACTGGGAAGGTCTCGCTGGCCAGTTTCTCCTCCGCCCCAGCCTTCTCTGTCTCCCTTATTCTTTCTCCAGCACCTCCGGGTCCGTAAGTGTCTTTCAGACAGAATTTATTTACTTAATTATGAAAGCAATATATTTTGTCTCTCTAGCACCCTATTCAGCCATGTACAAAAGGCTCTTTCGACAGTCAATATGTCTTATCAAAGGTTTAGCTAAAGCAAAGACAATTCTATTTTAGAGGAATTCTGCCAACAGCTTTAAGCTAGTATTTCTTTTCCTCCCTCAGTAGCTGACAGTGGCAGTTAAAGAGACAGTAAAACCTTGTAGAAAAGGCGTTCCCTGTGTGGGGGGCATTCTGAAAAACCATGCCAGGCTAGTCCTTCTGTCATGGAATTTTTGCTGAATCTTGGAACTGACACAGTAATTGGGGAATTTATTAGTGTGGATTTTGTTATATGAGCATGTCATATGTGCAATTCATTTTCAATTATGATGCGGAAAGAGAATCTCACTTGACAGAGAAGAGTGAACAGTCCTTTCTGGAAGACTAGTGATTTCTATACTGTACTTTTATAGGCTTCTTCGGACCAACACTGAACAGTTTTATCCACATTCTTATGTACTCCTACTATGGACTTTCTGTGTTCCCATCTATGCACAAGTATCTTTGGTGGAAGAAATATCTCACTCAGGCCCAGCTGGTATGTTGTCCCTTCTTTTAGCTTTTCTCTGTGTGGCTCATGGATGGGGAAAAGAAATAGAAATTTCTCTTAGAAGTCAGAGGGCTTTTGATGTGTGATGAGGCTGCCTATGTTTTTTCCAAAATTGGCCTTTTAAGAATTAAACTTTTTGTGTTAAAATGCCCTTAGTGCATGCAATTAGCTTATAATGGAAAGTTCCTTGCTTTGAAATGTAGATGAATACTTTTCAAATGAATAAGTTAAATCTTTTGTGTCTAAATAATTTTAACTGCGACTTTTCCATGTGGAAATAACGGGCAATTTTACATACTAATTTCAAATAAGATTTCTGGATGAGGGGGCTGCTTCAGCATCTTTGTTTTGTTCCTACATAATTCTGAGAGTCCTAGGAGTTCATTTCTGAATTGATCAAGCCTGGCTCGCTCACAGCGATACCCTCTCTGCCGTCCCCAGGTGCAGTTCGTGCTCACCATCACGCACACCATGAGCGCCGTTGTGAAACCGTGTGGCTTCCCCTTCGGCTGTCTCATCTTCCAGTCATCCTATATGCTGACGTTAGTCATCCTCTTCTTAAATTTTTACGTTCAGGTATGTGGAATGTAAATGTTCAGCAGGAAAATAGAATAGATTGTGCACTTTTTTTTTTTTTGAGACAGAGTTTCACTCTGATTGCCCAGGCTGGAGTGCAGTGGCGTGATCTCGGCTCACTGCATCTTCCGGGTTCAAGCGAGTCTCCTGCCTCAGCCTCCCAAGTAGCTGGGATTAGAGGCCTGGCTAATTTTTGTAGTTTTAGTAGAGATGGGGTTTCGCCATGTTGGCCAGGCTGGTCTCGAACTCCTGACCTCAGGTGATCCGCCCACCTCGGCCTCCCAAAGTGCTGGGATTACAGGCGTGGGCCACCACGCCTGGCTAATTTGTATTATTAGTAGAGACAGGGTTTCTCCATGTTGGTCAGGCTGGTCTTGAACTCCTGATCTCAGGTGATCCGCCCACCTTGGCCTCCCAGAGTGCTGGGATTACAGGTGTGAGCCACCGTGCACATCCCCATAGTGGTTTTATACAGTGTGGAACGGTGGGAACTGAATTTTGACAGCTTTTCAGGTCTTGTATTTCTGAAATTGGACTAGGCTTTGTCTTTTATAAGAGATAAAGGTTTCCTTTGAAGATTTCCAAAGAAGTAATCAACGATGAGACCAAACAAAGCTATGTGCGGGTGCGCAAACCCCTGCCCCCACCTTCCCAAAACAAGCTGAGTGTTAAAGGGAAGCTAAGGGAATGATTTGGTGCCTGGTGTTGAAGACTGAAGAGAAGCGCATAGCCCAGCAAAAATAGGTAATGGTATTCAAAGCCTTAGCCCTACATGCTGGTTCAAACTGAATCTTAGTTCTGAAGTCAAGCATATAATTGAAGTCTGGACCCTTGTTAATACTATTACTTAAAAAAAAAAAAAAAATGTAAAAATGAGATGAGAGATCAGTTATTGTGTCAGAAAAGGAAGGATATGCCAAAAACCAGATCAAGCCAGAATCCCAGGTATTGGTACTTTTAAAATAACAGCACTTTTTCACTTGAATTATTTTTTAAAGTTTTATCTTTCCAAATGAGCAACTAATACAGAATACTTTGAATGCTAACCTCAGAATATACAAATCCTGACCTGTAATATTCATTGAAATACATGCATTTGTTTTGGTCTTTACCCTATTTTTAATCTTTAACCAGAAGTTTAAAAATGATATTACAAACATGAAATCTTATTAGAAAATCCAGCACCCAACTGGGCATAGTGGCTCATGCCTGTAATCTCAGTACTTTGGGAGGCCAAGG